CCGAGCTACTGGGACGCCCAAGAAAGACGGAATGGAACCGGGCAGTGGGTTTTCTCTTCGAAACAGGTCCAGATGTGCGAGGGTCTTTCTTGGCTAATGCGGACGGGGCGGGACGAGCAAAGAAGGGCGCTCCACGAAGCGCCCGCCACTAGCAGTCAGTCGAGTCTTGGGAGAATGCTTCTGGACCAGACTTCCTGAGACCTTTTGTCCGCGTTCGGAATAGCCGGTGGGAGAGGGCACTTGCTAATGTTAACCAACATGGCGAAATCAACGATTATGGCATGGCTTGCCATTTCAAGTCTGTGAGTGGATAAAAGCAGAAGTTGAAGCTGTGGCGTAAACGGAGGCGCCTAACCATGTCATGTAAATTGCATCTTCTGGTTGGCCTGACTAGAAGCGAAGTTTCTCTGGTCTGAATCACTAAAGTAATAGGTGTTCGACAGCCGAACTTTGTTGAAGGCTGATGTCCATTTTTTTTTTGGTCTCTCTCTCTCTTCTCCCTTGGCGGGCCGTTTTGGGCTTGACTCGGCCGGCCACCTTCGGGAAGATGTGTGTGTGGGACGGTCAGCTCACCGGACTGACCGGGCTCACCGAGACCCATATCACCGCAGTATCCCGGCGGGGACCTGCGTGGCTCCGTACACCCCCTGTCGTCCGGTCTTGCGCTCGGCCCCGATCCGGAACGGGATGTGGAGATGGGTTTTGTGCTGTTGAAGCTGGGCCTCTTTTCGCATTCACCTAATCTTCTTGGTGTCCTTGCCAGCAGCACGTTCGCGGTCTCTCTTGGCATAGATGCCAGCAGTAAAGGGGTTCTCATAGCGCAGGGCAATTTGGTAAACGATGAAGACCCAGAGAGTCAGCAGGATGCCGGCGGGCTTGCCGTAGATGAGGGCGGCGCCAAGGAAGCTCAGGGTGGACCCATTGTACATCGGGGCGTCGGTAATGCTGAAGGGAAAGCCAGTCACGATGCTGTCCATCAAAATGCCGAAGTAGTCACCGAGAAACGTGCCGGTAATACCCAGCTGCCATGTCGAAGAGAGAACGAGAACGTTGCCACATGCCACGAGGGCGTATCCGACATAGGTCACCGCATCGGACGCGAGAAGTGGGTGGGCTGGCTGGAAGCGCAGGGCCCGTTCGTAGAGAAGATCACGGAAAATGCCGAGAGAAAAGATGGTGGCAGCCAGACCGTAGCATGCAGCTTGCGAACGTCCACCAGCGAGCTTGGTGAGGATCTTGTTCTTGTACTCTGGGAACCAAGCAGGTTAGACGGTGGCTACTGGGACACGACCGTGGCGGCTTCACGAACCTTGTCTTGCGACGATGCTACGCAGATGTTAGCACAAAACTTAGCTGAGGCACGCTGACGAACATAGGAAAGCAACTTACTTCCAGAACAACGGGTTGAAGGCAATTGCAGCGGCAGAAACTGTTTGCAACGATTTGGGTCAGCGGGGGGAAAGAGGCGACGACGACGAGCTGGAGAGGAAAGGAAGGGCCCAAGCTCCACGGGTACGACATGACGTACTGAGTAGGCTCTTCTGGTTGAAGTCGACCAGGGCCTTGTTGTCAATCTGGACGGGCGCCATGGCGAATACCAATGTCAATGGAGAGGAATGCTGTTGTAGAACGAGAGAAATCTGCAAGGCAATGCAACGAGCAGTTTTCCTCTCAAAAGGAAGAAAACCGTTGAGGACAGAGAGTAGCTTATTTAGGAAGAAGAGAAGGATGGGTTGGGAAGTCTCGCAGGCTTGTGACAGAAGCTTGCTCCACCCCAGGTATTTATGTTAGCGGGGACACCTGGCCATAGCGTCTCGTCATAACGCAGTACCAGTAATGCACCGCCGGGGGTCCAAGGGTGCGGTTTACGCCCTTAGGTAAGTACTTTTCATCCTGTTACCTATGTACCTTTCCGTACCTACTATGAGGTACCTTTACCGTTTGCTCTTAAGGTAGGTAGTCTTAGGTTTCTTTTCTTCACGGGGTTTCGACGGTCTTCGGGGCTGGGGTAGATGAACCCTCCAGCCCCCGCCGCAGCTATCCGATCCTTGACGCGGCAAGCGATAGCTCGAGAGAACGAGCTCCTTTGCCAGCGCATCCAACACAATCCAGTCCTCCAAAGACTCTGAGACGCAAGGGAAGGCAGTACAGAATCATGAACTGAAAAGGGTCATCAAGGAATCCAGCATATATATAACTGACTAGAAAACAGCGCGCCGCCTTGACCAATTCGCAACATGGGGGGTATCAATTGCAACGTCAACCGCCAAACACCATAACCCGGAGATAATCCCTCAAAGTAAGCCAACAACGCCCGGGCACCCATTCACCTGCGATTCCTAGTCTTCTTGGCCACGGTGCCCGTGTCTTCTTCCTCGTCGTCCTGGCCCTTCTTGAGATCCTCCGTGAGGCCCCACTTCTCCTTGTCGTACCAGTCCTCGCCGTCAGACATATCCCGGTTGGCACCACTGTGCGCTTCCGACTTGGACCACTCGAGAACTGTGTTGCGTAGCCGGTTGGCCTTGAGAAGGCCTTCGTGGAGCTTCATAGCACCGCGGCAGACCTCCTCTTGTTTCTGGACGTACAGAGCTAACAGGCGGCGGATATCCTCGGCCTCTGCCTCTGGTAGACCCACATCTCGGTCTGGACGAGCGTTGGCCGGCGGCCGGAAAAATGGGTGGACAAAGGTTTCGTCCGCCGTCTCCGATGCCGTTGCCATTGACGGCGCATGCGTACCGTTGCCATCAGCCAGTTCTGTTCCGGGCTGTGACGGAGGTATCGCGTTGCCATCGTGCATTTCAACGTCAACCGCCTTTTGTTTCTGCTTCTTGTCGGCTTTGCTTTCAACCTGTGCCTCCTTGGCTACTGTGCTAGGTTTGGAAGTTTCGCCGTTTGCTACCTGGGATGCGTCTGCCTCAGGCTGAGTGTGCTCCTTGTCTGCCTTTTCAGATGCGGACTTCGCAGCATCCCCCTTCTCGGAGCCGGCATCAGTCATTGTTACGTCCCCATCTTCGTTGTCCTTGTCTCCAGACGCCTCGCCGTTCGTGCCGTTTGGCGCATGTTCTGGTTTCGCATCGCCGCTCAACGTACCAGAGGAGGCGTCCCCGTTTGATCCGGCAGTGATGGCTTTCGTGTTTTGTAGGTAGCCGCGTTCGACGTAGTCTGTCGAGTACAAGTCGGCATCGTCCGGACCGACCATCATGCCACAGGGGACCCATGTGTAGTCGCCGCAAATCTTTGTGAACAGATGTCTGACTCTCCACAGCGATGCATTTTCTTTCCGTCGAACGTCGCAGCTTTGCTCGGCTATCTCGTCTAGGGTCTTGGCTGTGAAGGGTTTCGAAAGGGTCGGATGTTGTGGCAGGTCGATTGAGGCAGTCAAGGGAGCTAGGATTTCTGGAACGGGGTCAGTTAAGAGCCTGGGACCGCGATTGATTCTTGTGGTACTGACGTTCAATTCGAATATTGGCGTAGGGGTCAAGCTCTGTGGCCGAGGAGACAGCCTCCTGAATGCGCTCCTCGTCGTCGTCGCTGTCAATTTCGTACCCTTCTTCGTCTACAATGGGAGGGTTGCGGCTGATTATCGTGCGCTGCTGGCCAGCGTAGTCAATCACCTGCGATGGTTAGTGTTGGTCGGACGCCGTGGGCGGGTATGCGGGAGGAACTCGCGACGTACTTCGTTGTAAACTTCGGGACCGGAGGGTGGTGCGAGTTGACCTTTGTGAGCAAAGAGTGCGCGCTTCTGGAGTTTGTGGCCGCGGTTGCCGTAGTGGTCAATCTCGTCGTCCGAGTCGGATTCTGCCAGGTGCTCGTTAGGATGTGAGGTCGACAAGGCTTCACGTCGGGAAGTGATTGGTGTGCGTACCATAGGCTTTTCGCTTCAGAGCCTTCTTCATAGCGGCGACCGTCTCGGCGAACAGGATCTGTTGGGTTGCCATTGCGCTATTCAGACTCTTGCCCCTGGCGACGTGCCCAAGCGATCACGGAGGTGGGTGCGGTGGCAGCGGCAGCGAGAAGCAGGACGAGGGGAGACAGAGCTGGGGTCGATTGGAGCCTTTTTCGAGTAAAGAGACTAAACAGTCTCAAATGACTGGTTATTGAGTTCGAAGCGGATCGGGAGAGGTGCGAGAGGAAGTCATTTACGAGACCGGTTCGGAGAATGGTGTGGTGTGGGAGAGGTGTAGGAAAGGTAGAATGGGTAGCCCTCAATTTCTGCGCGCAGCCTCTGTGACGAGGCGGGAGGAGAAGCACGCGGGCGGGCGAGGCTGGATTTCCTGGCCCTGTGGAGGGTACCCGACTGCGCTCCCACACTGATGAACGTCCTACTAGGTACAGAGCGACTGCGCTGCGCTTTCCACTGCTGCCAGGTCCCCGTCCGCTCTTTGGAGGTGGGTCGATCATGACCGCATTTAGGTGTACAGCCAATCATGGCACCCAGCATCGGCAGCCACTTTACCCGATGCCGAGACGTCCTACTGTCGCTGATCGGCTGCCCTGTGCCTCCAGCGCTGCTCAGGGGGGGTGTCCACCTGCTTTGTGGTCACTGCCCGTATCACTACAGCGAGACGATAAGGTACCTGTGGCCTGAACACATTAACGTAACTTAGGATTACCGGCGGTGGGCTGGGATTGGGGTGAGGTGCGGGACGAGAGCTGTGATACTTTTGACATGTATCTTTCTTCTCACAGACCTGTTGGAGGACGCAGGACACCCTTGCTTGCGCGATCCTCAACTTGCACGAAGCTTCCCCATTCGCGACAACGTGCAAGTCTTGCTCACTGCACACTCTCTTGCTGTAATCGCCTGGTTTCCTGATCCAAGCGGTCATGCTCCCTTGAGTACCGCTTCCGTGAGTGCCCACTAGCTACTGCCATCACCAGGAGTACATGCTTCTAACGTGCAGTGTCTATCTAGAGTAGCTTTGCGATCCGGTCGACCCCTGCCAAAAGAATCGATATCTTCATGGTCGCCTTGCGCTGCATGCTCCAACTTGATAATAATGGACGGATACCCGGTTGGAAGCCTGGATCATAACATCCCGCACATCGTCATTGCCGGCCTGACTTCGATCCCCGCCAAAGCCCTGCCTCTGAACGCAGAGCTTCGAGACCAAGCCCTCTTGATCCGATCCGAACTGCCAAGCATAGAAAGCCCGAATGCCGAAGCCTTGAAAGACTACATAGTTCGTCAAGATGGAAGGAATCACCCATGGAACGGCAAAGACAGCGGGAAGCCGTACAGGCTGCGGGTCGCCGTTGCTGGTCGAGTACGGCGCGCACCACCTACTTGCATCAAGTCAGGGCTAACATCTGCATAGTCTCTTGTTCTCCCTCCTCGCCGTGCTAGACTTCCAGACGGCATAGAAGCTCCCGAGACGCCCGCTGTGCTGCATTCGCCCTTTTCTCCTCTTAGCCCAGTCTCTCCATTGTATCCCGATGGCTTGATGAACACAGACTGGCTCCAAAAGCATGAGGACATGGTTCCCAGTGTCTATGTATCTTTCTATACCCTGACGACCGATCCGACACTTGCTACCCTTCACGACAATCAGCTGAAAACGGACATCAACAACTCCAAGACCGCTATCAGCAGGTCAGGCTACAGGACACGCTTCGCCGTTGTTCTCCTGAGCGATGGCGTTGCTTCGGCTTCTATGCAAGATTTCATGCAGGAGAGACTCGAAAACATCAGGCGAGGCGTTGCTTTGGACAACAAGTCCTTCTTCTACCTGTCGCCCCAGGACCTTTCAACAGATTTAGAGCATACTGCAGACTCCATGCTTGCGGCCGTCTTCTTGCAAGCCATAGAGTACTATCGCGATCTCGGCCGTCATGCTCGGAAGAAGCGCAGCCGCGGAATTGCTCCGCAACCTACAGTGCCGCCTACGAGCACTTCCCAAACGACCTCGGTGCAAGACTGGAATGTACGATACGATTACAAGACGGGGGTTTTCGCCGAGTTCCGACAGGAGATGGACGCGGCGCTGCGCTCGTATGAACAAGCTTATGAGGGGCTCCTCAGTCAGGACGTCATGGACATAATCCCCAGCTGGAGCCCAAGATGGAACGAGGCGCGCATGCTTGCGGATGTGCTGGCGATACGCAGCATTCGATGCCTGCTCTGGGGATCCCAGAACACTGCTGCCGTACGGAAATGGCACACACATCGGGACAGGATAGCAGACTTTGTCGATCGACGCGGCCGGGGAACGAATAACTACGGATGGGCTGCATGGGAATCGAGGTGGGCGGTAGTGATGGCGAATCTAATCGAGAGAGTGGACATTCGCAGCTTGGCGCCAGCAACGCGAACGTTATTTCTTCAGCCTGAAAAGGCTGCTGCAGCCGATCGCTTACGACCATGGGAAATGCTGCATCACACGGGATATTGGTATCGCATCGCAGCTGAGCATCTGATGACCCGGCGAAGACTTGCCCGGTCTATTCCAGAAGAAGACCGGCGCTCGCCAGATACCACTCCGGCTTCGGCAGTTGCGAGCAAGGCCTTCCAATACGACACGTACATGTGCCCAGATCCTCACGAGGAGTTTCCTCTGCAGGGGACGGGCGTCAATCATTCTAAGCTCATTATAGACATTCTAATGGCAGCTAGATCCCAGTTCCAGGCACGGCGTCAACTGCGGTTATCGGCCGAATTGTCTTTGGAATGCGCGAAAGAAATGGTGAACCTAAAGGCCTGGGACGACATTGTTGCTTTGCTGCGACCTCTATGGGAAGACATGTCGTTCAGATCAGAGGGATGGCTCAACATTACGGAAGACCTGAGCTGGGTGTTGCGTGCTGCGGCCGCCCGAATTGGTCACGGGGAGCTTGTAGTCGCCATTGACTGGGAGCTGATGAACAGGAGTAAGATCTTTTCTTCTCTTCATCTTTACGGACACTGACTGCAACACAGAGTTCACACGGCGGCCCAACTGGCACTACGACATATCCAGGTCACTCGAGGGACTTGATATCGAGCCCAAACCAACTGTGACCATTAATGATGATGTGGTTTCCTCCTTCATCGCCGCATCCTTCATCTTCAAAAGCGAAGATGGTAAAGCTGGCGAAAACTGTCAAGCGCAAGTTGCCATTCGATCCGACGCTTTCCCAGATGCATCGGCGGTGACGCTCAAGGGCCTGAGAATCGACTTTGAAGGTAGCTTGAAGACCATCACACTAGATCATGACCCGGAGTCCAATGGTGGAAAGAGCAAGGGCAACGTCACGCTTGCGGACGTGCCCCTGACCGAGCAGGCTCGAGACGGCGAAGAGGAAGAGGAAGGCTCATCAGGGCTGAGCGGATCTGGAAACCTGACCCTGAAGCCTGGGCACACGAACGTTTACGAAATGGCCATACCTCTGCGGGAGCCCGGCGAGGCGCACGCATCCTCGGCGACGTTGATCCTGGAGACGGACACCTTTTTGCTGAATTATACCGTTACCTTCCGGGATCTGGGAGCGACGGACTTTTGGTTTGGACCGTCTCTTTCACGGAGACGGATCGTGCGGCAGAGCGCGCATGTTATCCAAGTCCAGGCCAGGCCGCCCAAGCTGGAGATCAAGCTGGCGCAACCTCAGGATCAATTTTACGCAAACGAGCCAATGGACCTGGTTGTGGATGTTGTCAATGCCGAGGAGACTGAGGCTGTGGCTAAGCTCGAGGCTCACGTCTTTGGCGAGCAGATCCCGTCCTTCCGCGTGGACATTGAAGACGAAGGAGAACATGTTGCAGAAGCTGGTCAGGAGGAGGCCAAACTTACGGGGTTGACACTTGGAAATTTGGCAATATCGCAGTCAAAACGTGTCAAGATCAGGCTTGAACCCGTACAGTTGACCACCTCTTTCGATGTCACACTGAGGGTGTTTTACCATCTCGCCGCCGACCCGGCTACCTTGATCATGCAGATTCTACCCGTCCAGCTCAACGTCGTCAACCCCTTTGAAGCAAACTACGATCTTATTCCGCGTCTCCATTCGGATCCCTGGCCAAGCTTATTTGATTATGAGGGCGTGCAGGACCCCTCGGCAGACGAAGCTGCGATGCAGCCCCGCGGTCTGGCACAAAAGTGGTGTCTCGTGTGCCACTTTGCATCGTTCGCGACGGAAGACCTGGAGATTGTCAGCATGGACGCCGAAGTCATTGCGTGCCAGAATCACGCACGGTGCACCACGGCGACCCGCCCAGAGATCGCAGAAGGCGGGCTCCGAATCCCACCAAAGCAGATGCAGGAGGCCCAGTTCGATCTGGTGGCTCAAAAGTTCAGCCTCGACGATCGGGGGCCTGCGTCCCTCGACGTAGCTTTTGTCCTCAAGTGGCGCCGCACATCAACAGCCTCGTCACCAGCGCTGGTCAACACGACCAGGATGCTTGTCCCAAGATATATCGTCTTGGGCACCGAGCCTCGCGTCCTAGCTTCGTACTCTCTCGCCAATTCCGTGACGGGTCTGATACATTTGGACATCACCATTGAGAACCCGTCGAGTCATTTCCTGACGTTTGGTTTGAACATGGAGCCCAGTGACGAGTTTGCGTTTTCCGGCTCCAAGCAGACCACGGCGCACGTCTTGCCCGTGTCTAGACGTACCATTACGTACCGGTTGCTACCTTTGATACGGGGTGACTACATCCGGCCCACGCTCGTGGTTCGGGACAAGTACTTCCAAAAGGTATTGAGGATCATACCGACGGAGGGGATGAAGATCGACAAGGACGGCCTGCTGGTTTGGATACCGCCAGAGGAGGGCGAAGAAGAGGAGTAGGAGGGGCCGGTGATGATGAAACGATCAAGCTGCCGGGCTTTCTTGTGTACATAGACTCTACATCTAAAGGTGTCTCTAAACATCCAGCTCCACAAAGGTGCCAAACACTACCATGCTCTCGCTCCTCTTGGTTCTAAACTTTCGTCGCTCGTGAACTACACACATGCTTCTAGATCTTCGCCTTGGGTGGCCGCGCCGACCCCCCAATCTTACCCATCCACTCCTCGGTAAGCGTCGTCTTCTCCTCGACGCTCAACCTCGTCCACCGCTCATATTCCTCCTGCTCAACCCTCCACTCCCCCATCACCTTCTCAATCCACTCAGCCGTCAACTTTGCACTCGTCCCAGGAACCTCCATCGGGAACAAATGCCCGCCACCCTCGAGCGTAACTTCCTTCACCCTCCCCCTCGCGACCCCACCGCTCCCGCCTACCCCGGTTCCCGTCAACCGCATCTTCTCGTCGCGCAGTTCCGGCGTGGAGAGGTCGCTTGCGCCGCCGAAGACGTAGAGACAGCTGGGGCGCAGGTGCGGGAGGCGTACGAGGGTGGATGCGCCTTCGGAGCGGTAGACGGGGAATGTGTAGTAGCGCTCGTTGAGGGCCGGGTCGAGGTCCGGGACGAGATCTGGGTTGACGAGGTTCGTGCCGGAAGAATCGTAGGCGTGCCAAGAGGGGCGGAAGTAGGTGAAGACCTCTTGGTGTTTTGTCGTTGCGAGGGTTACGCTTTCTTTTGTGATGGGGGTTTTGGGGTTGTTGGTGCTAGAGGTGGAGGGGTAGAGTTGCGTGGGCACGTCGCGGAGGCCGTGGTCCATCCACGCTTCGAACACCCTCTCATCCCAGCCGCGGTAAAACGGGCTCTTGAGGAACGCTTTACGCGCCTCCTCGCGCGAGGGCCAGAGATCTCTGCGGCGGGCGCTCGCTGCTGCGGGAGACGCGGCGATGGTGCCCTTGGCGTTGGACGACCATTTCGAAATGACGGGGTCTAAGAGGACGACGCCGGAGAAGAGGCGCGGGTTGATGAGGGCGACGTTGACGATTGCGTTGCCGCCGAACGAGTGGCCTACGCCGAGCAGGGGACGCGGCGGGCGGAGGGTGTTGATGAGGTGGAGGAGGTCGCGGGGGTGGTCGAACCAGCCCGGGTCGTTGCCGAGGAGGGGTTCGTTGAGGGATGAGGAGCGGCCTTGCCAGGCTGCGTCTGCGATGATGATGGAGCGGATGCGGAAGGTCGAGGTTGGGAGGAGGGATTGGGCGTGCAGGTCTTGCCAGAGGGCTTCGTAGAGTTCCTGTGATGATTAGTGAGCGTGGTGTTCGTGAGGTGTATGGTTCATGAGGAAACATGGGATGAAGTGAGATGAAGTGAGATGAAGGTGACAAACCTTGGGGAAGCCGTTGGCGTGGGCGCCAATGATTGTGACGTCGCCGGGCTTGGGGTTCGGGTTGTCCTTTGGGACGTACTCCTTTACGGCGAGCTTGAGGACGTCGTCTTGGGAGCGGGAGAGGGCGCGGGGGAACTCGCGGATGTGTGAGCCGTCGAGGACGTGCTCCCTGATGTGGAAGACGGAGGACATGTTGATTGTTTAGTGAGGCTGTTTAGTTGAATTGAGATGAAGTGAGATGAGTGAGTTTCACTGAGTGAAGGACTGCTGTTGCTCAGCCAGGATACACTCAGTTCATGTGTGAGAGAGTGCGTGCGTCTGGTACGTGTATTAAGTAAGGAGAATTAAGATGAAAAGAGGTCGAGGTGAGGCCAGGTCTCAAAATATCGTCTCCCAGCTTCATCGGCTACACAGGTAGGGTAGGCAAGGCAAGATTGACGAGGTTAGAAGATGGGACTAGACTTGCGACGAAGGGACCGGGTCGACGTTCCTTAGTGAAGGCGAAAGTCTGGGGTCCTGGGGGTGTTGTGTGGAGCTGGTAGATGCCGAGGTACCAGCGGTTACCGGTACGGAGTACGGGTACGCCCCCTGCCATGTACCTGAGCCAACACTGCCTGTGCTGTGTTAATATCTAAAGTATCTGTACCTCAGTTCGGCTCATACCCATCCCCGAGGCCGTAGACATCATCCATGTAAGTAGCACTCTCAAGGCATTCATTTGATGGCGTTTGCAACCGAGAATTCTGGCAGAAGAGGAAAGAAAAAGCAAACTCAAGAGAATCAACCATGTCGGCGTGTCCATTCCATGTCTTGGAGGCAACCGATTCGGGGGGGGACACAAGTTTGACAATGGTTAACACTATCAGCCACACGTTTGAGATGCTGCAGTCTCGCCATCTGAGATGAATTGAGTTTTTCCCTGTTGCCCATTGTGCGAGTATTCTTCCTTGTGTCGTGTTTGTGTCTGTGTTTGTGTGTGAGTGTCACCCGCCTGTCATCCATTCGCTCCCGTGTCTCTCGTCATCAGAATTCAGCTCTGTTCTGGAGGGACCTGTGACGGACTGGATGACCCAATTCTACCCCGCAATCTCCAATCTTCCAGGCACGCCGCACCGCCAGGTTCTCGTGCCCCGCAACACCTCATCTGCCGCATCTCGCCCGACCAACACCTCACCGAGTCCACTCCCGTCACCTACACCCACACACCCGCCGCCGCTGCCGGACCGGATCCGGTCCAGACACCCCTGCATGCCGAAAGTCATCATCTTCGCCGGCGCCCCCGAGGCCGACTGGTCATCTCCGGATTCCCTCCTCCTCTCCGGCCCACCCGCTTTACCCGTCTCCACTTCAACATCAACGTCAACCTCATCGTCAACCTCAACACCGGCAACTCAAAACGCAAATACAACCACGATAGCCCTCCCATGCTGGCGATCCCTCCCCTTACACTACAAGCCCCTAACAACAGGCTACTCCCAACCCCACGGCCTCCCCTCAAACTTCCTCCCCCCAGCACACTTCTTCTCCCTCTCCTGGGACGCCCACCAAGAAACAACCAACAACGACACCACAACCACAACGGACTCCCAAGACCCCCTCTCCCAGCAATTCTACAACCACTCCTTAGCCCTCCACCACGACCTCGCATCCTCCCAGCTCCCGCCCCCTCCGTCCTCATCACGACCTCCAGGCCAGCAAAACCCATCCAGACACAGAGACAACACCTCCTTCAACACAACAGCAACAGACTCCTTCATATCCGAAACAACAGACTCCTTCCAAGACACCACAGCGGACCTCTCCACCTCAACCCCGCGTCCTCCCCTTTTGACGTCAACCCACCACCTCTCCGACCTAGAAGACATCCCTCCGGCCCCCTCCCTCCTCCGCCTCGCCCCGCAAACCGTCACCGTGAACCTCATCGCGGGCGTAATCTCCGTCTCCACTCCGCGAAGCGTGACCACCCGCTGGGGCAACGAACTATCTCTGGTCGAGGTGCTCTTGGGAGACGACACGCGCGCCGGGTTCGGCGTCACATTTTGGTTACCTGCTATGCCGCCGCCTCCCCCAGCAGCTGCAAAGAACGCCGGTAAGCCCGCAACAGCAGATCCGACGTCGCCGGCGAATCTCCGGAGACAAGACGTCGTGTTACTGCAGAATGTGGCGCTGCATGTGTTTAGAGGAAAGGTGTATGGGCAGAGCCTGCGGAAGGGGTTGACTAGGACGACGGTGCTTTATCGGAGGAAGTTGGGGGAGGGGGATGAGGGCGGGTATTATCGTCCGAGGGACCTGGAGAGGTCTCTCGCTGCAGGAGGAGGGGATGGGGATGGGGAACCGAGCACGGTGCATCCGCAGCTTGTCAAGACGAGGAGGGTGTGGGAGTGGGTGATGAGGTTTGTCGGCGGCGGCGGCGGCGGCGGCGGCGGCGAGGAGAAGACGACGGCGAGGGGGGTTGTGAAGAGGGGGTGGGATGCGTTGCCTGATGATACCCAGTGAGGTGTGTGAATTACTTCGGAGAGAGAGAGAGAGAGACGGAAAGAAACTAGTCAATGTTCGAAAAGCATGGTTAATTCTAGTTTTATACTCTGTCATTGAGTCGACTACACAAGCCAAAGCAGGAACGCCAATAGCACAAACACCATCAATACCTCGTAGCTGGCAGCACGATCGACATGTTCAGGTGAGAGCACCGTACCGTACTTCAGATCCTTCACCTCCTTCTCTCAAGACTACTCTCCCCTTAATGATCAAGGCAGGTAAGCCATAACGACTCCCAGGCGTATCTTAATCTTTATACTAGAAGAGTCTTGACCAACTAGAATTTTTTATTACCCGTTATACCTTCCACTGATGTTCCCTTCCATCTCGAAAGCTCCTTCGACATTTGTCAAGACGCGCTGAAGATTTCAGAATAAGAGCTTCAACTCCCATTCTTGATCGGGAAGTCCGTTCATGCAGCCCTGCCCTCTTTCTTCCTCTTCACCTTAGGCAAGGTACCTATGATATTACTCTCTACTGGCAAGCTATAACGCCGGTCTATTTCAAGTACGCTATAGGTCCCCGAGCTCATGTACAGAACAGCCAGTCCACAAGGTAAGAACCCCGGTATGCTCAATGTTGTGTCAATAAAACCTCTTCTCTCCATTAGGGGCAGGGCGGGACTGGGTAAGTGGTTGTGCTATGAGCACGAAATGTTGAGTAGGTATGGCCCTTTGGGGCTTCCGCGATGGGGAGAAGTGGTTGTTGTGGTGGCATTGTATAACAGCCTAAAGTTAGGTCGAATAGGGGCCCTTCTACGGTTCAATAGGTAAGGAGTAGTAGCTGTTGTCCGGCTATTGTATTACGTGGAGTATTCTAGTCGGAATATGTGAAGGATTATAGATAGTACTAACTAAGAGGGGGAAAATATATTGAAAAAAAAAATCCATGGGTAGTACGGCCCGTAATAATAATAGTAGCAGCAGCAGCAGACGGAGGGTTTCCCGGGCGAGCCCGCCAATGACGCCCGTCAGGAGCAACAGCAATAGCAATAGCAACGCCGCCGCCGCTGGTCCAACGACCGCCTCGGTCTCCGGTTTTAAAGCCTTTTTATGCTTTCAACCACTTAGCGGTGGTCCCTGCCCCGCCCCTACCATCGTGCCGACCCCGGGCCGAACCAGCAATCTCGGCCCCTTCTCACAGACCTGCCAATCCGGCCGACTTCCTAGACAAGGAGAGGGAGACGGACACGCCTTCTTGGGATGTGTGACTTGCGGTTTGCATGGCTTTAGTGCCCTTGGTCGGTTCTCTCCAGGTCGCTGAAGGCGAGAGAGTTGAGGGAGAACCGCTTCGCACCCTTTTTATACATGGAATCTGCACTACGTTATCAAGAATCTTCTCTCGAAGGTCTGCAGCGTGCTATACAAGAACGCCTTCCCCCTTTTTCCCTCCTGCCCTCGTTTCCATGAAAACTCCCAACTCCCGCCCGCATAAGACCACGGAACTGTGCCCACTGGCACGGCGATTAATCATCACCACCATCACAACCCAAAAAACACTCCGGCTCCCAGCATGACACCAACATGCACACTCATCTCCCCCCAAACCATCCCGCACCCGACTAAGAAAATAATGGGCACCGCGGTTGCAACCATTTGCCTCTTCTAGAGGCAGTCTTAGCCGGTAGAGTACGACGGCTCTGGTCAGAAGATAGCTTATGACCAGTGCTACATAGTTCCTTAATACCACTACAGTTATTATAACTACTCGACGTTGTCCCGAGCGTATTTATTAGGGCATATATGAGGAATGTAAAATGATGTTAAAATACCAAGAATGATCAGGATATAAAGAGTTAGGCAGAGCCTATGAGTTCCTTCAAAATAGGTACGTGTAAGCCGAAAGATCTTTGTGGTGGAGGGCTTTGAATAACTTAGTTTAGACACTCCCTCTACTCGCTCTCCTTTTTTCTGCCGAGAGGTACGCTATCATAAAGCGTCCTCGCCCTAGGACGACGCTGGACTAGAAAGCGACGTTGACGCCGGTAAATTGATCTAGTCAAGACATAAGAGATAAGATACCAGTGAGTGCTTGATAGTTCGTCGGGCCCGGGATTTCCGAATAACCTCACACGGCATGTGGGGGCCGGCCGTCGTAACGGCCCCTCCCGTCGCCGAGTCCCGTTCCTTGGCCTCAACCTGCAACGGCGTTGAAGGCGTTATGTAATGCAACTTACACATCGGGAGGGAGGACCAGAGTCCCGGGGCAATCTATTACCTCACGGCTTACCCTGGTCAAGTCCGGTTCCACGAAGGAAGGAAACCCACGTCCGTCCGGTCCCACGGCCGACCAAAGTCCCATTTCGTGAATCATCAAAGGACCAGAGACGCGGCGGTCGGACAGATTATGAGCCGCAAGCGATTCACCGGCCGAACGCACGGTGTGAGTCAACATTGGCACTTGTGTACAGCACCTGCAAGTGCAAGGATCGCCGTGACTCTCGGAGCCGTCTACGGGCCTTTGGTCTACGGGTCTCTCAACTCTGCAAAAATGGGTTCAGCCGCAGCCAGGTGTTTGCGGTGTTGGTCGGCGCCCGCTAGGGAGTAGCGCCCCAAAGAGACGGGAGATGAACAGAGGTCTGAGCGGTTTGCTGGATTCGCGCTTGGAGTCTTGACGTCGTAAATCCAAAAAGAGGCTTTTTGGATTATGAAATCAAAGTGCGAGGGCCGAAGGCGTTGGCGCAGAACTTGACCAATCACGGGCGCTGCCTACTGTGGGTGACCCACCCCGCGTAAGTCGGACAAGTTTTCCCTCCGACCACCGAGATGGGCCGACCGACTGGGCTGGAATTCCTGGAATTCGTCTGGATTTTCCGGTCTTTAGATTCTCTTAGATCCATCATCCATGGACCATGGTCTGCCCAGTAGCACTCTTGATCCACTGCCACATGGAGTCTGCTGCAGCCGTCGTAAACCGTAAAATAAGGTAGGGAGGATAGGTACCTACTACCAGGACTTTGTGCTCGGAGTGACCCCTGCCCCTGGCCCGATATCCCTCCGCCTTTCCTCCGGCACTGACACACACACACACACACACTCACACACGCGATTGAGGCTCACGTAACTATGGTGACGAAGGGCGTTCCTCCTTCGGACATTTTCTTCTTTTTTGCCAATTTCGATGACCACAGTTTGCAGCATGTCTAGGCCGAGTGACTCGTTTCCCCAATTCTCTCCTCCCCATCCCACCCACTCAAACGCAGACAAGCTCACGCTAAGGTATCCCACCAAGTTTTACCTCCTTTGCTTACCTACCTTACATGACAACTGGGTATCCAAAGTATGGAGCGCACAAAGAAAAGATACCTTGTCTTGGTAGGCATTGATCAAATGACCAGGGGGGAGCTTGGGCGTTTGGCTGGGCCATCCCTGGGGCTTACGAGTGTTCAAATCGGGTTGGGGTCTGCGATGGTGCAGTCTTACCCGATGGGATGCTGCAGCTGAGAAATTTCACGATCTCAGATGTCATTCAGGATGATTTACTAGTGTACCTACCTGACCTGACCTTACCTTACCTTACCTCGCAAGCGCGAGCATCAGCCCGCCTCGTCTGATGGATACATAAAACCTGCCCTGCCTGCCGCACACCATTTCACATGTGTCTCTTGCCTCTCCTGTATCATCCAGGGTCCTCCTTCCTTTTCTTTATTCCCACACCCTTAGGTTTGTAAAGAATAATATCGTCGTCTTCCCTACCTTTACTTTATAGATACGAAAAACATACACACCACCGGTTGACCCAGTGTATAAGTTAATCCTCCCTTGGAGCAAAACCACGACAACAAGAATCTTCATCACAACCTACACCATCACCATGGGCTCCAAACACCCTGACGAGAAGCTCGGTGACACCACCTCAGCCGATCCCTCCATCTCCACCGAGAAGCACCACGTTCACGATGACCCCAACATGCCCGAGACCTACGAGAAGCAGGACCCCTCTCATGCGACCGGCGACGACGACGTCGTCTACCCATCTGGCCTCAAAGTCGTCCTCATCCTCATCTCCCTCTGCCTCGCCGTCTTCCTCGTCGCCCTCGACCAGACCATCATCGCCCCAGCCCTCGGCACAATCACAGCGGAGTACGGCAGCGTCAAGGATATCGGCTGGTATGGCGCGTCCTACCTTCTGACAACAACGGCCCTCCAGCCGATGTACGGCACCATCTACAAGCTCTTCAGCATCAAGTACGCCTATCTCACCGCCATCGCCATCTTTGAAATCGGCTCCCTCGTCTGCGCTCTTGCGCCAACCTCCACCGCCTTCATCGTTGGTCGCGCCATTGCTGGTATTGGTACTGCGGGTCTGTTCTCCGGATCCATCGTCATCCTCAGCTACACCATGCCTCTCGAGAAGCGACCCCTGGCATTCGGTCTTATTGGGGGCATGTGGGGTGTTGCGTCCGTTGCTGGGCCTCTTCTGGGTGGTGTCTTTACCGAGAAAGCGACCTGGCGGTGGTGTTTCTACATCAACCTCCCCATCGGCGGTATCGCCATGGCCTTTATCTTCTTCCTCCTCACCATCAGCCGAAAGAACAACCCCAGTGGAGAGTCTCTGATGAAGCGCATTCTGCAGCTCGACCTCGTCGGAACGGCCATCTTCCTGCCCGCGATTGTCTGCCTCATTCTCGCTCTCCAGTGGGGTGGCGCCGAGTACCCCTGGAATAGCTCCAAGATTATTGGACTATTCGTCGGATTCGCGCTCATGATTATCGTCTTCATTGGTATTCAGCTATGGCAGGGCGACAAGGGAACGCTGCCTCCCAAGCTATTCAAGAACCGCAACGTCGTTTGCGCCATGCTGTTTGCCTGCTTCTTTGGTGCTGCATTCTTCCCGCTCCTCTACTATTTGTGTAAGTACCTCCCTTACTCCTATCTCTGCATGAGATTTTATATCAACTACATTTGAGAACCATCACACTAACAGATTGCAGCTCTCTACTTCCAGGCAATCCAAGGAGTCAGCGCCGTCCAAGCCGGCATCAAGATTCTGCCCCTTCTCCTCGCCACCGTCGTCGCATCCATTGCTAGTGGCGCTCTGATCTCCATCATTGGCTACTACAGCGCCATCATCCTGCCGTCTCTGGTCCTCTTCGCCGTCGGCTCAGGTATGATCACCACCTTTGACCTCGACACGCCCATGCGCGAGTGGTTCGGATACCAGGTGCTCGCGGGTCTCGGCATCGGCGCAGGTTTCCAAATTGGTGTGCTCGTCGTCCAGACGGTCTTGCCCCAGGAAGAGGTTCCCGTCGCGACCGCATGCGTGCAGTTCTTCCAATCCTTTGGCGGCGCCATCATGATTGCCGTCGCCCAGACACTGTTCCAGACGGGTCTCATTGATGGAGTCACCAAGAACGCTCCGGATATCAACCCCCAGATCTTCATCAACGCCGGCGCTGACCAGGTTCGCAACATCTTGACGCAGATGGGACGTGCCGACGCCATTGACGTGGTCCTTGAGGCATACATGGATGGACTCAGGCACACCTTCTATGTCACTGTTGCCTGCGCGTGTGCTGCTTTCATTGCCTGCCTGGGCCTGCAATGGAAGAGTGTCAAGAAGGAAGGCAAGGGTGGTGCTGCTGCCGTTGCTGTCTGAGATTTTCACTGTCTTGTACGATACGAAGGAAATGGTTACATGAGATTTAGAGGATACCCGGTTTAGAACCCTGCTCTACTTAGACTAGAAATTGTAATGTCGGATTGTTACTGTGTATGAATGTAAACTTCTAGACGTAATCGAGATGCTCTACTACGCTTTCATATGACAAAACCAAGAGTGAGTGAGGCTTGTATTAGACATATGGGTCCAAAGAACATAGGCCAAAAATAGTTCCTCCACGGGGGATCAAACGAAACCCGACCAAACGTCAGATCAATGGTCAAGGGGACTGAGATCCGCACTCGGGTCTTCCCCCAAATCATTCCGCACCCGACTTGCATAGCAGCTTATTCCCAAAGCTTCAGCACGTCTTAACTAAAATTAAAAGAGCTTTTGGAAAAAAAACATTGTTATTAGATGTAATAAATAAAAAAAAAATCTAAATAATCAAAAAGAAGTTAATACAAAAAATAAAATATACTTAAGAGACGCTATAGTCTATCTATTTTAGTTTATAGGGGGGGAGGTAGTCTTGAGAGAAGGAGTACGTGAAGGCAAGTACCTTACTGCAGTATTCTGAGGTAGATATAGCAGCGAAAGGAAGCGCAAATCAACATCTGATCTCTTGGTGAGTGTTGCTTAACATGGTAAGGCAGGTAGTGCGTGACCCACGATGGAAGACTTTCCCTCCAAGACGTGACTTCCCCCTGAACCATCCAGGTTTCCACCGGGTCCGAATACACAACCTGAATAACCACACAACAAGCCTTCATATACCCCTCTGCTGCCATTCCTGTCACCAGCCAGCAGGCGCCCGTCTAGGTCGACGGGTCAGGTCAAACTGGCTGGGTGGTGGAGTGGTTTATGGTCAATAATCAATTCGCCAACCAGCCTACTCGACGACAGGCTCAGCGCACACCCGAGTTCGAATCCCAGCATGAGCACCAAGAGATGTAGCCCCCAAACCGGCACCGGGGGGGTGAACTCTTTTGTCAGTACGAATGACTTTTTGATGTTAGCCGTGCCAGGATCATTATGACCTCCGCAAGCGTTAATGATTCAAGATTTCATCCGTAGCAGTCATTAATACATCACAAAGACTCGTGTTAGACGGATAAAAGTAAATCCCAACTGCGCGTGCTATTACTTAAAGAAACAGAGTTACGCCGCCATAATTTTGATATGTATGCAATTTCAGCTTCGAGATGCAACGTTCCTACCGCACACTTTGCTTTCTTTGGCGGGCATGTGTCTGGAGGATATTGAAAGCCCTACTCATAGACAGTATCAATGAGAAGTCCGAGGATTCTATCGAAGCTTCTCTTGCGTGGTTTCATCCTCCCACCACCCTTCTCTGGTGATCATAACGAGAAGCCACGATCAGTCTCTCCCCGCCTATGCCTTTATCTCGCTCTCGCCAGGTCCCACCCAAGTATGTGTTGAGCCGAACCCTTCCCACCAGTGCAATCGAATGATGTCCTCCCTTGAACAGGCCCTGTATTTAAAATGCGATGCCCACTTCACATCGTTCATATCCTCTCCCTTTCCGAGGTTTTTATATGAGATGAGTCGAACGATTCGGTTCCCATCCACATCTCTCCATTCATACGTATAGTTGGTGTAACAAAAGGCACAGGCACGCATACGCCTATTGTCCATTGAATGCTGGGGCTCCTCATCCGGATGCCAGATATTTCGTATCCTTCTCAGATCATCAGATTCCCATTCTCGTCTGTATCTCGCAAGGTCGACAGGGTCGGTATAATACTGCATATTATGCTGAAATATGAAAGGATACCTCGCTGCCCAGTACATATGCCCGCAACATTTGATGAGGTTGTTCCGTTCTAGTACTTGATAAAGGTAAGGGACGTCATTTCTGGTCGCGGAAAGGTCTGTGACGGTCTTTACGAGCAATTCGCCTTCTGTCGAGATACGGCACGTCATGATTTGTTCAACCGCTGCCTTAATGCTCTCGTGGCAATATGCAACGGAATCGACTAGATAAAGTTGATCAGGGCCATACAGATTCACTTTAGAACGCTTATCAGCCTGGAAGTGCTTGAGGACGTTGAAGTGAAGGGTGCGGTGGAGATAGGGTGAAACTAGTCTCTGATGCGGGTTTGCGGGTTCCTGAAGACAGGGACGATTATAGCCGCTGCCCTTGGCGCCGGTGCTGCTGTGAGAGGCGGTGGGTATCGACAAGTAAGGGTCGTGGAAGATCTGACAGGGCCTGCAGAGGACGTTGCCGTTTTTGTGCTCATCGGCGTCTCTCACCAGCAACGTCAGCAGCTCGAGTTTCTTTTGAGACGGTAGACTCAGTAGAAAGTTGTTCTCTCCGAAAATGGCCCACATTCTCATGCTCGTCAGAGATAGGACTGCGCGGTCGACCATGGTGAGATAAGCGGAGATGGCGAGGAGCAACTCGGTAGGCATGATTTGATCGAGGCCTGGTCCTTGGTATAATGCGTCTTTTCTCATTCTACCAAAAAGTAGAGCGAACCACGCCCAGGCTGATTGTAGAGGTGTTTCTTGACATGTTTTGGCGATGCTCTGTTCATCGGATGGGTATACGGGCACCTGGAACTCGACATGGACCTCTTCAGGAGGAAGACGATTTCGTCGCAACCTTTGCTGATGACGACGACTGTTGGCGAGAACCATACCTGCCGCGGCCATGTTGTAAAATATGTCGAGTGGTTGCTGTTGCGTGTGTCCGAGAAGACTTTGCTGCTCGCCTTTTGTCACCTTGTACATGTACATATATATACCTGTAGAAAGAGTAAGGCTCACGCCAGCCAACATTCAACTCAGCCTTATCACCATCAATACCATGGGATGGTTTGGGTCGAAGAACCTTCTTTTGATGGCCAAGTCTTCAAGGTCGGTAAGGTGTTGTGAATTTACCTTGGGTAGGTGGGAGGGTTAGGTGGCGGCGCAGTAGGCGTATCATAACGGAGCCCGAGATCTGCCCGAAGCGCACGGCAGACGAATACACTTGTGGATTTCTCTATCATACAGATAGCAAGATAGCTTCTCAAGTGACAGAGATCGTGCTAACCTGCCGGCTGAGTACATTGGGGGCATGAACGAGGAATGACAGCCATGACCACAGTGATGGTTAATCCTGCGACGGGCTATTGACTCAACATCGCGAATGCTATGGAGATAGCTTCGCCAGATGATTAGCCTCAAGTGGGTGATGGAACGATCCGCCGGTCAGCGCATAAGTGATACACAGAGTATACTTAATGACCAGCTAGAAATAGCAGTGGAAGTGATAGTAGTAGTCATAGGAGATAGAGGTAGAGGCAGAAGGGGCTGAGCGGCTGATTATTCCGCGTGTAATCTGCCACCTTTCTGACAAGTTGCACAATGAGTGAAGAGCTTCATTCACGTCGAAGTCAGACGTCAAAAAAAAGGTTGTTATGGTTCTCTCCCTTGAAACATGGCCCTGGATTCCACCTTGGCCGGAGGCACCGAAGTGCGATCAGATACAATCAGCTCATCACCCATCAAACACTCAACGATCAGAAAGCCAACGGAACCTAAGGCTGACAGAAGTGAGCAGTGGCCAAAGGTCTCTGCTATTTTAAGCTTTCGTCTCCCACGACGTTTCGTTTCGGGGCTAGTGTGGGGAAGTGCAGGCAGGAGCCAGAGAACACCTATTTGAGTGAGTGAGTGAGTGAGTGACGGGAATGTGAGTGAATGAGAATGGGAATGAAAATGGAAATGGAAATGCCGTTGTGGATCGACGAAACAATTAGGCAGTGCTTAGGTACTTTGAAACTGCAAAGTACCCGCACCAGCAAATTTGGGTGCGTTGATACCTCTGATTTCCCCGCAAGGGGAAGCCTGCAAATGAGCCTCAGACGGCTCAACACGGTTCGCTGTTCATGGCGCCTACTGCGTCTTCACTTTCCAACCCTGGCAAGCCTGGCCGCATCCAACCGGAAAGGTTATCCTACCTACAGCGAGGTACTTTATGGCAAGGTACATTGCTAAGTATGTAGTCAGAGCATGGACGGCAGGTACTTTGACCTCTCCAACGTCTGCCCGCCTGCCAACTGCACTGCCCGCCTACCCGCTGCGCTCGCTCGTCAACCAAACTCCAATTCAACCTCGACCCATCTACAACAACCTTGAGAGGTGGCTGCTTGAGCTATCACTTTTTCACCAGCCTCCTTTCCGTCGACATCAAACGTAAGGTACAAAGAGCGCTTCAAATGGTCTTGCGACATTCAACAATGCCATTTGCAAATCCGCATGTTACAACCAATATCTCAATGACATCGCCCAAGCCTTAATCGCGATCCCCGCCAGAACCAGCCCCCAAACGACGACTAGACCCAAACCACCTGGTCCACTACCCACTTAACGTTGCCGAACATCAAGCGTCACTTACAATAAATCCCAGATCGCTCCGTGAATCTGGCTCTCGCGACTACCTCGACAGTTTTGAACCTCACTGCCTCCCGCCATGGACAGAACCATGGATCTAAGGGACATGGACTTTGAGTCTGCCATCGTGGACGACGACAAGGACGCCGACGTCCCCGTAAACGCCCTCAATACTCCACAACGCCTGGGCCGCTCGCCCTTGTCCAAGACGCGCTCCATGTCTGATGGAGGAGGAACTCCTTCCAAGCTCACTCCTTCACAGCACATTGCGGATGGTCGCCAGGCATCCAAGGACGATAACCACATCAGAGACACGGCCACCACACCCGTAACCCCTCACCGAACCGAATTCCCCCTCCGTGGTCTCTCGCTGCAGATGCCCGCGAACCGCGACCCTGCCTCCCCTGCAGCCAACTCGTCCACCGCATTTACGAAGCCCGCGCCGCTATCACCGAAGCTCGACCACTCGCAGATCTATGCGAGTCCGACAAATATTCTCCCTCGTCGCTCTCGTGGCCTCGACTTCTCACGCGCTGCCACCAGCCTGCACCACTCAACACTCGCCGAGTCCTCACCCGACTCCTCGCCTACGATCGGAGGAAGGGGCATGAATATCCCGGGACGCAGGAGCAACGACTACGGACAGGCCGAGCAAACCACCAACTCGTTGTGGTCCATGATGGGCAACCACGAGCGCATGACGGTGTCGAGCTCCCTGGGCAGCGCGAATCAGATTGGGTCAGATTCTTCTTCCGACTCCGACGACGATGATCTCATGGATGAGGATATGGACGAGCCGTACATTGGTACACCGCAAGCCAACAAGACCGCCGCGCCCTTGGGCACACATCCCATGATGGCACCCTGGGGAGGCTCTCCGGCAATGAACAGTCTGATGAGCTTCCAGCATAGGCAGCGGCAAAGGAAACAGCCAAAAAAGAAACACAAACTGCCACTGGGTCTAGGATTCAGTCCTAGCACAAATGCCGGTGTCTCAAAGTCGCCGCCAAACAACGTGCCCAAAGACATGTCGGCACATTCACGTAGGGAGAGCATTAGCTGGCAGGCCAACCAGTTACATATCTCTGGGAGCGAGGAAGAGCGAGGTGATAATATCGACGGTCTGCTCTCGACTCCCAGTCGTGATGGGCAGCGCCCTACAGTCATGCGACGGGTGGTTACGCAGCGTAGAAACCTGCTACCCAAGACGAAGAACTTTGCTCGTATCAGGGCGGCTTTAGTCGAGGAAGGTGCGCCAGTCGAGACGGAAACCCAAAGAGAGGCCGAAGTCGTCCGTCAAGTGCGAGAGAGTGACGTCGATCTCGGAGCACCTCGTCAACAGACCGTTCCTCCCGCTACTACCCACTCGTCGCCCAACCTAGGGAACCAAGACCAATCCCTCGACGACATACCGGAAAGCATGATCACCGACTCGGCCCTCAATCTCTCGGGCAGCTTTAAGCAACAAGCCTTGAAGAATTCAAAGGGCACCAAGTTCTGGGATACCTTCTCCGAGTCTAGCAGTATCGGCGGTGCTCGCACAACACCGCCCCCGCCTAACGGAGGACTCCCTCGCGGCTCATCGTCAGGAATGAGCGAAGACATTTGCATGGACTCCCCGTCACTCGGCCCTACGGCTGGTTTTGCTATGGCCGCAAGTAGCGGGGAGTCTCAAAAGGGAGATACTCCTCTCCTCGCCCAGGGCCCGCAACCGGCACCCAGCGCAGCGGAAATCACACGGCGTATTAACAGCAAGCGCAGGCGGGAGGACGACTACGACCCTGTCAGTCTCAAGCGGCGGGCAGTAAGCCCAGGCATGAGCGTGCACAATTCGCCCATCATGCAGAGCCCCATGCAACGCGACGTGGCGCCCTGGGGGTCGCGGCCCGGCAGCAACAGCGGCGATAGGGGCGGCAGTGGCGCGCCGAGCGAGTCGGGAAGCCTTGGAGGCGGCACGCCCGGTAGCGGCGCCAACGTCAACGGCCGGGTAGTGAACGGGAACAAAGGACGCGTTGGATTCCAGGGCATGGTTGATACCAACGACGGTCTGATGCGAATGAGCATCGAGTGATTTCTTGAGGCGTGTCTTCGGAAGGGTGGAATTGGCGCAGTCTGCATTTCTTGGGCGTTGGGATAGGACAGTTTGCGTGTGAACAAAATACCGGCGAGAAAGGGGGAGTATCAAGGCGAACGAATCTTGGGAGGTTATGGACAAGGAGCAAGGAGCAAATTAGTATATCCATAGAGGCCGAGCTCGGCACCACACACACACAAGCACTCACAATAGCACACAGGCTACTTGCAAATGGAATAGAAATCTTTAATGAGCAAGATATTGTACACGACAGAGTGATTACGAAGATGAAGGGATAATTCTCGGCCGGTGGTATCTTCCCCGAAACGCCCGTGTACGCCTGTAATGCTTCCCAAAGCCCCCTTTCGTCCCCTTTTGATAAGTCAATGCGAAATCCATGCCACTCTGTCCCAGGTCCCATCTCTCTACTCGTACAGCTTCCCCGTGGTTCCCTGTCCATGAGAGAAAGAGAATGCGATGACACCAGCTTATTCCACACCCACACCCTCCTCGGGAACCCGCAAACTCCCAAGCTTATCGTCCAACCACCGCGCCAGCTCCTCGGCATGCCGCCGCAACACCACGACGCCGGCGGTATTCACGCTCCCGACGCTGGCGAGGGAGGTGGTCGTCTGGGCGCCGAGGCTGAGGATGCTATCTGCTTCCGAGGGGGACGCGGGGATCTGGAATGGCGTGCCTGTGCCCGCGCCGCCGTTTGCGCCTGCGTTCGCGTGGGAAGAGTGGTGCGAGTGAGAGTGTTGGTCGGTAGAGGAAGAAGCTTGCTGGGCTTCGATGGTCTCGGCGAGGGGACCGATGCAGACGAAGAGTAGCCCGCACTTTAGTCTCCGGATGACGACGACCCCGGCGGCGAGTTGGACTGTTATCGTGAGGGGTTTTCCTCCTGCTGCTCCTCCCGCGTGGTATCCTGCATCTTCCGTGTTTGCTGCAGCAGCGCCAGACGACGACGGCGGCGTGGAGGACGAGGAGGGGAGCGCGTCGGGGATGTCGGGCGTCGCGGAGGCGTGGAGGGCGAAGAGGGAGGATGCGACGGTGGACTGGGTGCGGAGGAGGGAGACGGGCTGCGGGGAGGCGTGGGCGAGGAGGCGGCCTGAGGGGGTCGCGAGGAGTGCCGTGTGGAGGTTTGCGTTTAGGTTTGAGGCGAGGAAGGAGGTTAGGCGTTTTGTTAGGAGGAGGGGCGTTGGTTGGTTTAGGGACATGTTTGTTTGTTTTCTGTTGTGGTTTTGGTTGTCGAGGGGGGAGATGGCTGTTGGTGAGGGTGATGAGGAGTTTGGGATGTTGAGGTGTGGTGAGGTTTGTAGATGTCGCGGTTCCGGTGTTCGGGAGGAGAGGTGTATGGTTCAATGCGGGTTGCTTCGTTTGGATTCCGGTTTGGTGAATGCGTGTTGTGTATCGTCACGGCTGCTGAACGTGATCGATGTCGAACCTTCGAAGCTAGGGCAAGATGCGTCTGGAAGGATGAGGGATTGGGGATGATCGGGTGGTGGTTGAGGCTCGGGCAAAGATAGAGGTCCACACGACTGCCAGGTTGTGGTGGTGGACAACCTGGAAGCTGGCGGGCAGGCTGTGGCACTCGGAGCTTCCATTCGAGGTCGCGCGCCAAGTAAAATTTGGGCAGCACCTGGCGGAAGGTGGGGCTCCCTGTCAAACGTCTGAAGGGCACGTACCTACCGTAGGTACCTTGGTCTGTCACGCAGGGAATTTGTTCTGTTAGTGCTCGGAATCTACTGCAGCTAAGGTACTAAGACAGCTCAACGTGCTTGTGTCGTGTGACTTCATGGATAAATTGGATGAACTATGAGAGACAACCTTGGTCAACTAGCTTGAGAAGCTTTTACTCATTCATGTGCTACGACCATGACATACCTAGCTCATAGAAGCACACTTTCGAGGCCAGTCGGTGAGGTCCCTCTTCCCGATATGCTTGACAACAACATCAAACACCTCCAAGACACTGCTACCACTAGTCCTTAACTTCACCAGACATCTTATTCAACACCATGAACCGGTACCCAAGATCATCCAGCACATCAACATACTCCCTCCCCTCCTCCGTCTCGCACCTCCACTCCTTATACAACCTCTCCATCTCCTCCGCCAACCCCCTCGTCTGCACAGCCGGCGTCTCGAGATCATACTCCAACAACGTCCGCACCGCAACCTTCAAGTACCGCGAGTAACCCGACCGATGCAGCACCTCGTCAAGATGAACATCCGCAGCGGCCCCACCACACGCCGGACCGGGCCCCGCACGTGCATTCGGCGCCGACCCGGACGGCACAACGCACTGACACCCCGGAAAGTTCTCGTGCAAGCACCCGCGGCTGCCCTTGTGCGTCTCGTCGTCGTAGATGCAAAGCATCTTTGCGCACCGCCGAATGTGGATGCACTGGCACGTCTGGCACCCGTCCAGGCTGGGGAGGGGCCGGCCGGTCATCATGCGGAAGAGGACGGCGCCGAGGGCCCAGTGTTCGTCGCTGAGCGTGTAGAGGCGTTTGCTCTGTGGGCGTGAGGTTAGTCGAGCTGCTGTGTGTCTGTACGAAGTTGCTCCGGGATAACTTACCTTCCTTCCCGTATCCTTATACTCCTTCCACTGCTCAATCATCTCCGTAAGACGCATATGCCCCGTCTCAGGCGCAACAGGAAACCCAACGCTATGCGGAAGCGGCTCCTCCCTCTCCAGCGCCCCCTCCCGCCGCGCCGGAACCCCCGACACGAAAGCCCGGCCAAACTTGCCCAGCTTGCACACGCCGTACGTCTCTTTGCCCCGCGAATGCTGAAAAAAGATGGACTGCGCATCAATGCCGCGGTGCAGGATGGGCATCCACTCCGTATCCGTCGCTGCCCACGACTTCTCGCCGGTCACCCAGTCCACCTCCTGCCGATACCCATCATGCAGCCAAACAAGCGTACGAATCACAGAGGTAAGAACGTGCCAGCAGAGCGACTCGGGCAGGAAGCACCCCGGCTCGTGCTCCGCGTGCCGGTGGTCCGCAAAGAGGATCTCGAGCGTGCCGGCGTCGCAGATATCCCAGACCAAATAGTCCTCCGTGGCCTGCTTCTCCGCGCGCGGGTCTAGGGGCTGCTGGCGGAGGTACCCCGCGAGGGAGATGATGTTCTCGTGGTTGAGGATGTGGGAGACGTTGCGGCCCATGTTGTGCGTGTAGAGGAGGTCCATGAGGCCCTTGACCTGGCGCTGCTTCTTGGTCGTGAAGCTCATCGAGTACTTGCCGGCGTCGTAGTACTCGTCAAAGTCGTCCACTTTGCGCGCGATGAACTCTTCGCCGTCGGCGTAGCCCGCGTGCTGGGCATTGCGCCGGGTGATCCAGATGTTCTTCTCGACTCTCTTGATGAGCTGGAATGGCGGCTGCGGGTGGTCTGGGTCCGCCTTTTCGGCTGTTGATGTTGACATGTTGGACCTTTTGGGGGGTATCAAATTGGGACCTGTCACTCGGTGGGCTTGTAGATGTTGGGGTCATGGCGAACTCTTGAGATTTCTGGAAAAAAGGTGATGCTGTCTTCTTTGTAGGTCCTCCTAGCACAGCATCGTCGTTTGCTCACCAGGCAGCGTCAACTAGAAGGGACCATGGTCACGGTCGAAACAAAGAACAGCCCTATGGCTATTGTAGTCTTTGATTCAACGGTTGCCGCCTTGGCATTCCGGAAAGGGTCATAGAGTACGCCACTTGACAGGCAATTGTGATGAGCGTTGATGTTTAAGACATCCTTAGAATCAGCCTCACAACGGTGTAAGTTGCTGAAAATTGAAAACTCATTTCCAGCACAAGAGCAATGCTCAACAGACAAATAACACGAAATATTCATAAGAAATGCCCTGCATCCCGTCGGTCGAAACGTCTGTACAGTCGTTCGCTAAGGCAAACGAAGCAGCAGGCTTGGCCAAACGGGAGGAGGCATATGCAAGGAAACAATTTTAGTCGTTCGCGCCGAAGCCGCATGCTCTGGTGACACAGAGCGTTTACCCATACCTACAGCCATGGAATTCCTGGCGTAGGCTGGTCGCACGACTTCTGAACCCACCGTCATTTCTTTGTCGGCCTGTCGCATTCAAATTAGAATGGCGATAAAGATAGCCGAATGGCCGGGGTAATCCACGTGCATCCAGCACCTACCAGCGTCCACCCCGCCGAGCAAATTGGTCGTGGAGAAGCGAAATGCTGCGTCTTCCGAATGTGGGAGGCGATCAAATTTGACTGAGCCCTTTTTTGGGTCGTGTTGGCCAAGACCTGCCGTCTGATCCGGGAGCGTTTGTCGACGCATCCCTTGGAGTTGTTTCCGGACGCTGGTGCAGCGGTGTTGGGCGGTCTGTAGGTCCATTGGTCCCTTGCGATATTCAGGCTATGCTTTGGGAGGGAGCTGTAAGGAGGCACTCGTCGCAGTGTGGCACTGTACGAATACTCCGCAGACGCGGTGTCACTCTTCGTTTCGACGATACTGCTTGCCATCCACCCTGCGTTCGGCCGAACCGTCGAATGACATAAATGGAGGAACAATCAATGCGAAAGAGGGCGCACTGGCCATGTAGGAGGTAGAAGAAGCAGCAGAGGCAACCCCGGGGTCGTGTATCCGCGAGCTCGCCGTCATGCATACCGTTGTATGGGCCAGGGCACGGCGTTTCATCGAGACTGCTCCGGGCAAAGCTGAGCAGAGTTGAGACGGGATGCCCGTGTTGAAAGGCTGAGTATCCATTCTGGCTGCGACGACTGTGAACAGCCGGCGTCGTTGTGAGTATAGCTTTGGTTCTGAGATAATTGTTTGCCATTTGTCGAATGCCCGAGTGTTGGGTCTAACAGAGTCAGTTGTATTGCACTTGCAAGCCACATCGGTTAGGACCGAGAAGAGGCCTCGTGGCCGGCCTCATCTCCACCGCATCGGCGCGGCTCTACCTAGTGTATTGGAAAGCTAACGTTGCAGTTTGCGGGAGTGGTTAGCGACAAGTCCACGATTCCTTCAAGCTTCGTTCAGGACGGTCGAAACAATGCGACCACAAGTCAGTGAGAAAGAAACAGCATTCCCGGCGGCTTCCCGCTGCTTCGAGAGGCGCAGTACTTGGGTTGATGGTTGGATGGGTGAAGCGGGCGCGTCCGAGCCGCGGCTGTAAAGATGAGGCCGCGAACTATGTGGCCATGCCGCCATGGTCAATCTCGAACCAGTGCCTGTCTCGAACAGAGCAACTGGCAGGCTTGGTGCGGGACGAGTTCTTCCATGGGTTGAACGCAGGAGAGGATGCACAACATGAGAGGCTGAGGAGGCACGGCAAGGCACAGGTGGCGGAGAGACAGGAGGAGGACTGCAGGACTGCAGGACTGCAGGAGAGGAGGAGGAAGAAGAAGACCGACGGAGATAGTACGTACCGTTGTACACTGTGAGAGACTGTGAGAGACTGTGGAAAGTTGTGGGGTACTTATCAAGGCCTAGAATTGAGTTGAGCCAATCAACTCCCTAGAAGGTCATGGGAAATGGGACCTCAAACGCTCTGTTGGTGCACTAAACCAAATCTGTCGACTTTGCGACATGGTACCTGCGTTAAAGGCCGCGCTTCCGTTCGCTATTGCTCCACAAGCCTCTCCTCCTCCCAGTCTCTGGGCATTTTGGGCAAGACCCCTCGGACGGTGGACGCTTGCTCGAAACCGCCTGTCTTCGTCTCCCCTTCCATTGCCCATGTCTGCACGTCCGCGACACTGCAACCATCAGCGGCAATCATCAATTATTGGATCATCTTACCCAAAAGGCCCCCCTTTCCTTCCCTTTTGGCACTGACCCGGTGTCTTGACCCTAGTCAGACTGTCAGACCCCCCCTCTCGCAGATCACTCTTGAAGGCCTCCACTCCCCTCTTACTCCTCTCAGAGACTCTCCCTCACTCAAGGGTCACACGCTTCAACGCTTACCTTCTGCGTCTTGACCACGCCACACACATTCCTCCTTCGAGCTTCACGAAGCACTTCCATGGCCTCAAGAGTAAGACTCGACGTTTTCGACCGAGACATTCTGATCGTGCGAATTATCCACGACGTCCGCTCCTTCTAGACTCGAACTTTGAATACACACAATACTCACTCGCTCGCTCACTCACTCAATCACTCGCATTGCGCACTGTAACTCCCTTCGCCCATTTCGACGTCCTGAGACTCAGCCTTGCAGCCCACGGCGGCCGATCAAACGCGGATATTCTCCCACGACCAGAAAACCGTCACCGCCTAACTTCAAGTGCTTGCTTGACAACAGTACTGACTACTCCGTACTTTACCCCCATTCCCCGGGTCTGTCAATTCCCACTACGGTCGACCAGCCGACTTGGCTTTTGCTCGCTGTCGTCACGTCGCCACGAATCTTCACCAAGTCTTGATCCACCCTCAAACGCCCGGTCGCTCGACCATGCCAGCTTGACAATCGCGCGGTCCGAACTCTTGCGTCGCACATTCAGCCCTTTCTTCCTACCCTGGGACCCACATTCCGTTCTCCCTCTCGTTCAACAACCGAATCTTCTTCCTCTACTCCTTCGGCTTCGTCCCGTCTCAAGTATCGATCTTTCTCTCCTGGTCATCATCAAGAGAAACACTGTCGATTACTTCGCGGGCGAGTAACGACTTGTGTTTGCGGCAGGTCCGGGTTGCGTTACCACACTCATTCACACGACGTTTGGTCCCTCGGCGACCATCACCCTTCTTCTTCTCTTTTTCCGACTCGACTGTGTCGGGATTCATCAATACAACTTTGACATTCGTCACACTCGTCAATTCGCCGCCCACTACCCAGGATGGGTTGCCTCACTCACCGCAAAAAGGTCATTGACCAACGTGCCGAGCAGAAATGGGACTATATCGTATGTAGAACCTCATACGGTACAACATTCTTCTGGTGCTAACCTGTCTAGAACCTCAACGACTTCAAGTCACGAGGATGCCTCACTCCGTTCGCGTACTTTTACCTGTGGCTCATGTTGATCATCTCCCTCGCCGTCTACGGCGTCGATATGTTCACTGCCATCAACCTCCTGGCTTTCGACCGCTGGTCCTCCGAAATCGACCCCGCCATCGACTTCAAGATCTCCAAGTGGATCTTCTCCATTTCCATCATCGCCTCCTTTGTCAATCTCGCCTTTGAGCATTTCCGCGCGCACCGCGTTATGAAGCGAGGAAACGTAGCTGAATGCTACCTCGACACTATTGCCGTTCGCCTCGAGAGTATCCGATTCGGAAAGGGCCAGGGTTGGAAGCGTTTCTTGGTCTTTGCCGAACTCACCAAGAGTAAGAAGGGAGCCGAGTATATTGCTCTGTTCACCTACTTCAGCTTTCAATGTAAGCCAATCCTACTTTCCCATCGTGGCCGTTACTAATCTTATGTAGCCTGGATTCGTGTACTGGTCTGTTCGGGACCTCGTCAGGTCGTCAACGCATTGACTCTCAAGTCTGTCTACGACGCCAAGCTTGCTGTTCACGAAGTCTCCGTCGAGGGCTCTCTGCTGGGTTTCTTTGATAAGATTAAGACGCTTGCCACGGAGGATTACCAGCAGGCTCTCATCCTGTCGGGTATGGTCTTCACCCTACTCATTTGGGTCTTCTCCGCTCTCTACCTCATCATGGCTGTCCTCTTCTACGTCTTCTTCCTCTTCCACTGGATCCCCAAGGCCGATGGAGGTCTCTCGGGCTACTGCGAGCGCAAGGTCACCAAGGCCCTCATGAAGATTGTTACAGTCAAGGTCAACAAGGCGTTAGCGAGACAGGAGGAAAGCAAGAGAAAGGCAGAAATGAAGGCGGCCAAGAAGAATGGTGAAAAGATGCCCCTAGAGCGACAGGCCACTCTGCCGACTCTACCCAATGTCGGAGACCCAGACAAATTGGCCGAGATGCCCATGTTTGGCCGCAATGACACCTTCGCGACACTGCCCGCCTACGAGTCTCGTCCCGGGACTCCCGGCAGCATCGAGCTCAACTCCATGGACCAGAAACGCCCCCTGCCCTCGAGAATGGGCACCACCACTTCCACGGCCAGCTACTCGTCGCGCGCACCTCTTGTTGGCGGCGCTGCCGACTTTGGATACCAGCGCTCAGGCTCTCCGGCTCCTTCTCTGCCACCCATGGACTTGAACAACTACCCTCCTCAGCGCCCTGGCACTTCCAACTCGCAAAGGAGCTTCCGGCCTCAAATCTCTCACGTGCAAACCAACTCACAGAGTTCTCTCCGTGGTGGTTTCTCGGAGAGCCCCTCTACATACTCTCCCGACACGATGCCACCCTTCCCTCCGCCTGTGAGATCCAACACTGGCCGATCGGTAGAAAGCTTCAGATCGCAAAGACAAAACACGTACCAGAGTGACCGTGGCACGCCGGCGCCCAGAGGCACCTACGACGACTACTCGAACCAGTCGAATGGACGTGCCAGCCCCGCACCCTCAGCATACTCAGGCCGCGCTCCTGCACCCATGCCCCGTGGTCCCGGTCCGCTCAACAACACCCCGTACCAAGCGTACCAGCCGTTCAACCCGCAACGGAGCGCGACTGGCCCGGTTCCGCCCCGAGGCCCGCCGAATGCTCCCACGCGGAACATGACGGCGCCCGTGCCTCCCCGGCCACAGGACGACTACTTCAACCGTCCTGGCACCTCACAGAGCCAGCGGCCGAGCCCTCGCGGCCCTGGGTACGGCTACAACAGCGATGTAGAATCTCAGAGGGATCCGCGGTACTAGGGGTACCGTGCTCCTTTCTGAGGCTCATAGATCGCGTGCGCTTATAGGGTTATGCGGCTACGTCCCGCAATTTCTTTTTTTCATAATGTCTTTATGATTCAAAAGGGGTGTCTACTTTTGCGCTGGGAACAAGCGCACATTTCACGAAAGGCCTTTCTCGTCATTTCCTCTTCGTCCTCGCCCAGCCATCTCACACTACTCGGAGAACACAAAAGTGTCGAGGCTGAGGTTGAGGCTGCTCCTCCTTCTTTTTACGACCATCCTTTCGATACCCCCCGAAACTTTTCGCTTCATTCTCCGTTCGTCCATGTACTACTAGGAATTCAGGGTCTACTGGCTACAGAAGTGCTCCAAGAGCCGCTAGAGAGAGGAAACCGCCAAAATCCAAATGTACTTTTAGAAACTCAAGAATACCAAAGTCTGTTGATGACAATCCGATGTTCACACTTTCTGTGGTTTCGTCTGCCTTTGTCATGTTCTTCATACTTGACACTGTATTCACTAACGTCCCCCGCGGCGCCAGGGCCCCTGGTAAGCTCGCAACGCCAATGCAGGCGATTAAAGTTTTGGCCCCGCTTCCCCATCGTGATAACCCCTGGCACAGTCTGACAGTGCCAAGTAACTGTCTTCACCAGCTGCCAACCTACGTCAGGCCGTCAGCTTTGGAATCCCGCCTTCGCTGATCACGACATGCGCCCTTCGGTGCTGATTTGTCACCCGGAGATGTCAATTTCATCCTCCAGGGCTCATACAGATGCGCTTATAATTAATCTTGTGGTGTTGGTGATGATTTCTAATGATGTGATATTACTATACCTTTCTCAAAATTCTCATAATTCAATGCAAACAGCGTGATCACCTGCGAACTTACACCCTCAATACACATCTCATATGAATCACACCCTCCTCCTGACAACCCTCCTCTCATCACAACTCCTCACAAGCTCAAACCTGTTCTTCCACTCACAACTACAAGACATCAACGGCATCATGCCAGGCAGAACAATACCCTTCCACCAAGGCGAACTCGCCCTCCACGAGCAACTCAAAATCCCCCGCCACAGAGCGAACCCCACAGCCGCGGGCCTCCCGCCCTCCTACGGCAACCGCATCGCCGCCGCCCCGCTCCTGGCCCTCGGCACCCTCGACGCTGAACGCCGGCCGTGGACGACGCTATGGGGCGGGGAGGCGGGCAACGTGGCGAGGCCGATTGCGGAGGACGTGCTTGGTCTCAGGAGCGTGGTTGACATTGGTGACGATCCGGTGTTTAAGGCTCTTTGGGGGGCCGAAGGGGAGGTAAACGGGGACCAGCAGCAGCAGCAGCATTTGCAAGAGGTAATTCAGCCTGGGAGGGGTTCGGATGGAGGGAAACTCGTCTCCGGACTGGCCATCGACCTCACGACGCGGGATCGCGTAAAGTTCGGAGGGAGAATGGTAGCTGGGGCGGTTACGGTTCCCTCGGATGGCATTGCTGCCGCTGAGGACCGGAGCTCTTCTTCCTCCTCGGAAGTACAAATCGCGGTGCACGTTGAAGAGAGTCTGGGAAACTGCCCCAAGTACCTCAACAAAAAGGACGTCATCCCGCGGGCGTCGCTCGTCAAGGGCAGAGTGGAGCGGGAGTTGCCGCTGTCTGAGGAGGCTGTGAAGGTCGTGCGCGGGGCGGATATGCTTTTCCTCACGAGCGGACACGAGGAGGGAGGGGACGATGGTGGCAGTGGCAGCAGTATGGATACGAACCATAGGGGAGGGTCGAGGGGGTTTGTCAGGGTTGCGAGGAACGATGAGGGTGGCGTGGAGATTGTGTATCCTGAATGTGAGTTTTACTGCAACCCCCTTTCTGAGTCATTTGCATCCGGATCGATGGTTATGACGAGAAGGCTAATCATCTTATAGTTTCCGGCAATCGGTTATATCAGACGCTGGGGAACCTTAAACTGAACCCCTTGGTCGGGATCGCGATACCAGACTTTGAGACGTCAGACGTCCTTTACGTGAGTATTACTCAATTTCTTCCCAGCCTCACCTGGAACTTGGAAGATTATGAGGCTAACACTTGGAGGTCGGCAAAGCTCACGGGATCGGCATCGATACTCGTCGGACAAGACGCGGCAGCCTACCTACCACGCACGAAACTCGCGGTCAAAATCACCGTGTCGGCCGCGGTCTTTGTACAGTCCGGCCTACCCTTCTCCGGCACCTCTCTCGAGCCGTCACCGTACAACCCGCCCGTGAGACCGCTCTTCTCCGAGCAGCAGCATGTTCTGGGTTCGTCTACGGAAAGCACCAGAACGGCCACGCTGCTGCGCCGCGAGATCATCACGCCGACGATTGCGCGGTTCGTCTTTGGCCTGGAGCCCGCGGCGCAGTGGGAGGCGGGCCAGTACGTCACGTTTGACTTCGCGGAGGAGCTGGACGTCGGGTGGAGTCATATGCGCGACGACGAGCCGCAGAGCCTGAATGATGATTACGTGAGGACTTTTACGGTTTCGAGTCCGCCTGGAGATAAGGAAGGGAAGGAATTTGAGATTACGGCGAGGAAGAATGGTCCGGTTACGAATATGTTGTGGAGGTGGAATTTGAGGGTTCCGTTGGAGGTTCCTGTGCTTGGGTTTGGCGGAGAAGAGGCGTTTAGGATGGGTAGGGGGAAGGGGAAGAAGGGTGATGACGGCGGTGATGATGTTGAAGAGGTGTTTGTTGCTGCTGGTGTTGGGATTACGCCTTTGATTGCGCAGGCTGGTGGTGTTTTGGGGGCTGGTGTGAGGATGAAGGTGTTGTGGACTGTCAAGGGAGAGGACGTGAAGCTGGTGAGGGATGTTGTTGGGAGGATTCCTGGGTTGGCTGGTGTGTTGAGGGTGTTTGTGACGGGTGAGATTGGAGAGGCGGAGGAGGCGATGATGC